CTATCTTTACAATGAAAGCATTCGCAGGCATTGAACTGGCATTAGGCATTTTGCGCAGTGTCTCCAGAAACTCTGCCTTTTGAGGTGTAAATAGGTGAGAGAAGACCTCCCTGAGGGCACCAAGCCCTGGGAAGATGGATGGAGTGGGGCTGGAGGCAGCGGCTGCCTGGGCAGGAAGCTCGGAGGTGATGCTGAGAGCTGGGGAGGCTTCACGGCTCCCAGCATCATCTGCTAAGAGGAAACAAGGGTGACCTACCTCTGCCTGAAGCCCATCTTTCAGAGGCTAGTGAATATGTGAGGGTTCCCACCGCCCCCCCCAAAAAAAAAATCTAATAAGATTGGGCTGTTCATTTCTTCAAATATCAGCTTGTCCACTTTCCAATGCACTTTGGCTTATATCCTATGTTGATGTGTCTTGTATCTTGGAGGACACAGAGCCCATCATCTCCTTGTACAGATGAATTTCTAGTGAATTATTTGGATAGTGAGAGTAATTAAATGTTCAGATTCAGGAAACTCCTTGTTTCCCATGATAAATGTCTCATTACCTCATTTCACATTGGGTTCCTGTGTCCTAGACAAGGAAGCAAAGAGCGTACTTGTGGGAGGCTGGATGCCTACCTCAGCACTTTGGCTTTGACGTTAATTAGCCGAGACCTTGTGAGAATTATTTTGACATCACCTGAGGAAATGAGGGATTTAGGCTAGTCAATCTCTAAGATCCTTTACTAATCTAAGTTTTATGTACCCTTCTCTGGCTAAGTATACTGTTAACTCATTCTGTAACCTTAGGCATTCAATGTAAAATTTTCCACTCTCTTGTAACTTTCCAGATACATCTCACTTTCCAAATGATTAATCTTATGAGCAGGTCCAACTTGAGTTATTTTCACACTTTTATCTTCTTCTTCAATTGGAAAGCCAAAAACTGTGTATAGTGTAGTTAAAAAAATATATATTACCTCATGCTCTGTAATTCCATTGTTTTCCTTCTTTTTAGTAACCTTTAAATCAAATAATAATTGTGTATTTTAAATGTATTATTAGTACCTGCCAGATGTTTACCTGAAAATCCTTTTTTCCTTTTTTTAAAATTAAATTTACTAAGGTAATATTGGTTAATAACATTTTATAAATTTCAGGGGTGCAATATGTTAATTCAAAATGTGTGAACTCTATTGCATGCTCAACCCCCAAAGATTAGATTCCTTCTGTTAACATACGTTTGAACCCCGTTGCCCTCCCCCAACTCCTCTTCCCCATCCTTCCCCCACCCCTCTTCCTCTCTGTTAACTACCATTCTGTTTTCTATACCTATGAGTTTATTGTTTGTTTTGTTCATTTGTTGCTTTTTTTGTTTTATATTCCACATAAGTAAAATTATGTGGCTTTTGTTCTTTTCTGTCTGACTTATTTCACTTAGCATACATTCTCTCAAGATCCATGTTACTGCAAATGGCAGTATTTCATCTTTTTTATGGCGGAGTCATATTCCATTGTATATATGCACCACATCTTCATTATCCATTCATTCGCCTGTGGACACTTAAGTTGTTTCTGTGTCTTGGCTATTGGAAACAGTGCTACAGTGAACATAGGGATGCAGATATCTTTATGAATTAGTGTTTTCATATTCAGAAAAACCCTTTTCTGAATATGCCAAGTACCTAGATTTACTGATATCTATTGAGCCAGGGACTGTGCTCGGTCCTATAGAGACTCATGCAAGTGGATGGTAAGCACCATTATTTTAAAATAAAGTAGAATATAAAATAGTAGCATACACTTCATATAAGAAGTTTATTGTTTTGGGGGGGTTTTCCGGGGACTCTGGTTTTCTCCCACATCCCAAAGATGTGCACGTGACATGAATTGGCCCGTCTCCATTGTCCCAGTCTGAGTGAGTGTGTGCGTGGCTGTGAGTACCCTGTGATGGATGGGCGTCCTGTCCAGGGTGGGCTCCTATCTGGTTCCCTGAGTTGCTGGGAGAGGCTCTGCCAGCCCATGACCCCACACTGGAGTAAGTAGGTTAGAAAATAATGATCTTACTTGTTTTTCTTCATCTTTCTTAAATGTATGTATAGCTCACATTTCAGTGTTTAATGTTAGAAGTGTTTTGGGTCTTGATTTAGAACAGTGGTTCTCAACCTTCCTAATGCCGCAACCCTTTAATACAGTTCCTCATGTTGTGGTGACCCCCAATTTCATTGTTACAAATTGAACATAATTAAAGCATAATGACTAATCACAAAAACAATATATAATTATATATGTGTTTTCTGGTGGTCTTAGGTGACCCCTGTGAAAGGGTCGTTCGACCCCCAAAGGGGTCGCGACCCACAGGTTGAGAACCACTGATTTAGAAGCTTGGTGATGTTTTTTTTTTTTTTTTAATATATTTTATTGATTTTTTACAGAGAGGAAGGGAGAGAGATAGATAGTTAGAAACATCGATCAGCTGCCTCCTGCACATCTCCCACTGGGGATGTGCCCGCAACCCAGGTACATGCCCTTGACCGGAATCGAACCTGGGACCCCTCAGTCCGCAGGCCGACGCTCTATCCACTGAGCCAAATTATTTAGAAGCTTGGTGATGTTTTTGTATTTAGAAATATGCCATAGAAACTTAACTCTTATTTATATCAGTTATATCGGTTTTGTTACGCATTTTTTCACGTAAAGTCTCCATCTTTAGATGATGTTAAATGAGGACATTTACCAGCATAATCATTTTTATTTTATTACTAGTGGCCCAGTGCACAGATTCATGCACATTGAAAGGAAATTAATTAGAAGAAATATTTTAATATCGCTATTCGCCCTTTCTCTATAATAGAAGTGTCAGAGATAAAAGAAAATTCGTAAAACGTATATGGAAATAATATATAAATTGATTAATAAATAATAACAGCATGATATAACAAAAACAAAGACATGCTATAAAAACAGCAAAAACATGATATAAAAACAACATCGGTAAAAACAATGACTGATAAATTGATTAAACTTATTCTAATATCTCCCTGTATCCACATTAAGAGTAAAAACACTTTCAGAGTGCTTGACTAATATCCCTTGTGATGAAGTATTTACAACTTTAACATCACATGCTCTTTAAACTCGAGAAAAAGCAACATATAACTGACTATGTCCAAAAATGGGTCCAGGTAGGAATATTCCTACTCTGTCCAGAGTTGTCTTTGTGATTTATTAATAGTCATCACAAATGCTGACATCATGGGAAACTGTCTTCAAATTAATTTAAATGGGAGGCCAGTGTCAGATGAGGACAGATCAATTCTTGAAATCAGAACAACCTCTCCTTCTGCAGATCCTGTTAATACTTGAGCTTCAATTATGTTAGATCGCAATCTTTTGATAATAAATCTAGTACTGTTACAAAGACCCAATTTACTATTAAGATTTCTTAGTAGCATGATGATTGCACCCACTTGCAATTTTAATTTATGACACGGCATTCCTGAAGGAGTAATACTATTAAGAAATTCGATGGAAAAATTTTCCTTTTCAGCATCATCTGTTGAATCAATGGAATCATCACTCAAATAGGTGTGAAAATCTCCATCGAGTATATCCAAAAGTTCTTCATTTATGAATGTGCTCATTTTTAGGACAAAGAATCACACGTTTAGATATATTTTTAATATTATTAATAGATATAATTCACAATCAACAATGACAGATTAAAACACATGTGTGCGATTGGCTCCAGTAAGAGCTTTATATGTATCGAGCATGCACAAGTCAATGTTTATTTTTAAATTGCCAGTGCGCATCATATGTACCGGCCGGTTGGTCAGTCAGATGGTTGGACAGACATATGGTCAGTCACTTAGCCTTTTATATATATAGATATAGATAATAATTCAATTTAAAATAGTTAATAAATTCTAGGTCTGGGTTTTACTGGCTACACAGCATTTGCTATGTCCAGGCAGTGTTGTAGGCACAATGTATTTCATATCACAAGAATAGGTAGATAGTTGTTAGGAGTGTGGAGTCTGGAGCCTCACTTGGTTCAAATTCTGATTTTACCACATTACTTATATGACACTGGGCAAATTCGCCTAAATGTGCTTCATTTTTCAGTCTATAAAAGGGGATAATAATAAGTATAACTCATAAGGTTGACATGAGAATTAAAGCCAAATTAATCTCTGTTTAGAATGGTGACAATACCTAGTGCCTAATAAGGGCTACACAGCTGTAAGCTGTTGTCACGGTTGTCATCATCAACTCTCACAGTAACCCTGTGATAGGTAATTTTGAGTCATGACTAATTACAAACCCTACAAAGTAGGTAGAACATTGACGTTTGGGGAGGTTGGCTAAAGCCACAAAGGCAAGATGTGTGCCAGGTCCCTTACTCAAACCCTGGCAACTGGTTCCAGAGTCTGGTCTTTTCACACTGCATAACATGGCCACACTGTGTACCAGTAGCTTCCAGAATAATTGTTTACAGGTCATTTACATATTATGTCTCCCCTCCCCTTGTCATCATGTCAAAGAAGCTTGATTTCCCCCACTAACTGCTTTTCTTTTGAGCAGAAGTGAGAGTCAGCTACGCTGTAGTAGGAAGAACTCCCACATACAAATGACTAGGGAGGAGGAGGATGGAGCTGGCAGCTCCTGAGCATCTTCCACGTGTGAAGTACAGAGGCTCACACTTCGCAAACATCTCGTTTCATCTGAACAGATACCCCGTTGGGTATATCTTATCCCCATTTTATAGATGAGGAAACCAAAGCTGATCTAGTCTGAAATCACAAAGAATGGGTCTGACTCCAAGGCTTTTGCCACTAGGCTAAGCTGAGAAATCGAATGTAATGAGAGTCTATTGTGAACTCTTTGGTCAAGCAATTCTTCAATAACCATTATCTAATTTGCTTGTTCATGAAAGGCAGAGACCCTGGCTTCTTCCAAGTGACTTCACAGTGTCACTCTGCTGAGGTGTGTTCTGTCCTCTTGTTCCCTTCCAGAGGAGATCTGTACCCTCGTCATCGCTGAGACTTTCCCTGAAGATGCAGGGGTCTTTACCTGCTCAGCAAGAAATGACTACGGCTCAGTAACCAGCACTGCCCAGCTGGTGGTCACCGCAGGTATGTGAGGAGTAAGAAATGACAGGGTTCTGTCCCCAGCCCTCAAGTGTGGCTTGCCACGGGGGAGAGAACTGTCCCAGGAGGAGTGCCCAGCCATTGGGAATGTGTGCTGCCACTCCAGGTGTTATTTTGATGGGCAGTGTTTCATCAGCAAACAAAAGGCTTTGGGGGAGAGGGAGTGAAAGTAGAGATGAAAAACAAAAAGATAATGATGATGGAGCAGCTGAACACCCATGGAGCTATTTTTGTAAATCACCCATGCAGTCTTGGTCTTGGAAGCGATGGAGCTGGTTTCCTAACATGCTTCATGCTAACCCAGAATCATGCTCACATCAGAAGGCCACCTGGGCATGGGAGATGCTGTCACTGTTTTGAGCAGTGTCAAAACAGGAGAGGAGATATATGTTCAGAAAAATTCAGGTTGAACCCACGTTTGAAACTTCTGAAAAAGTAGTACAAAATACACCTGATGGAATTTGGAGAAACTGTAAGATCTTAGATATCAAATTTCACTGACAGTGAAATATAACTATGATATGAAAAACTACAGAAATATACTATCAAAACCAATATTCAAAAATGCCTGGATATTTTTTAAACTCCGAAATTTACCACTAGCAAAGGCAACATGAAACAGCTTTTCCTTTAACTTTAGCTTGCTCTTTTCTGCTATTATTAATATGCTATACCTTAGTTTATTTTTATTGCCTCGTCTCTATTATTTATTTTACAGCAAATGTTACAATATATCTTTGACCAGGCCTGACACATAGTGCACATAACAGGGAATCAGTAAATGGGGTTGTTGGCTGGATGAGAGAGACATGGAGAGAGCACTGGAATCCCACTTTGATTTCTTTGGAAGAGTGGGAACTTGGTGCTAGGGGGCAGCAGAGGCCCAACCAAGACTGGGTCAGGGAGCTTAGCGTGGGAATTGTTATTTGTCTTCATCTTAAAAGAACTGTGGATGCTCAGGCAGAGCTGATGTGCCTCAAGATAGCTTCCCTAGAGCGTCGAAAATCCCCTCTCTGCCCTGAGTTTTGGCACCCAGTTCTGTCAACAACAGTTGAGTATCATCTTTAAAATAAAGGCTCCTGAGAGGGAATTGAAAGCTAAAAAAGAAAAAATGAGGGGACATATGTAATACTCTCAACAATAAAGATTTTTTTAAAAGATACAGTAATGTTTTAATAAAATAGAATGACTAAAGAAAAAAGAAAGGTAGGAAGAGAGGGAAGAGGGAGTAAAAGAAGGAAAGGAAGAGAGAAAGGAAGGAAAAGGCTCACCTTAATGGGAGAACGGTTGATTGAATGAGTGCTTTAAATGTGCATGGTCGGAGCTACAGAGCGGGGAAGAGCCCAGTGTTTTGATTCTGGTTGGCTTGAGGACTGTCCCATCAGGTGGCCACAGCCATCGTGCAGTCTCCAAGCGTATGGCCCAAACTCCAGACTCTTAAAATCTGTTGGCAAAACTTGGCATTTTTATCTGGGGTAGGTAGGCCAAGCATAATAAACAAATACTGCTGAGCTCTCCTCCGTTCACCTCGGTAAGCGCTTTTGAGTACATTCCAGGAGCTCTGCTGGGCTCAGGGCAAAGTGAGAAATCCAAAGAAGACATGATCTTACCTCAAAACATATTCAGTTTGAGAGTAAAGAAAAAAAATGGGGGTGGAAGTTGAGTATGGCTGTGGCAATCATCTAACTGGAAAAAAATTATCTATGAAGTCATAAGACATTTCCCTTAGACTCAGAGCTTTACTTAACTTTCAGTAGAATGAATCCCTCCCTGTTCATTGCTTATCCCATAAAACCTTAGGGCTTGAGCTAATATTAGTAAAGCTCAGATTGGATGTTCAGTCGGATCTGTGGCTGAGATGTGAGAAGACAAAGCATTATTAGTTGATACTGTGTCTGTTGTCATTTTTAAACTAAGTTCTGTCTTTAGCTCTGGCTTGAAATGAATAGGTAGCTGCTTTCCCCACTTGTGGGCTCATTCAGGAAATGAAACACTAGCAGTCGCCCAAACAAGCTGGGGCGAACCAAGCCCTCCAGCTGGCTTCGCTTCTGCGTCAGATGCCAGCCGCACAGCTACCTCTTCTGTGACACCAGGGTCCGAGGGATCCTCAGACCATCCATAACAGTGTGAATGTAACTGTTGAGTTAGTAGCATCATATTATTTGTTCCCTCTCTTTCCCCTTCCTCAGCCAACACCGAGGACTGTAGCTATGACTCCACGGGAGAGTCCAACAGCGATCACTTCCAGCACTTCCCGCCTCCCCCTCCGATCTTGGAAACCAGTCCCTTTGAGTTGGCTCCAAAGAAACCAGCCGAGATCCAGCAGGTGAACAGCCCGGAGTTAGGCCGCGGCATGGCAGCCCTTCAAATGCAATTCAGTTCTGCCGAGAGGGAAACGAACGGAGTGCACCCCAGCCACGGAGTCAACGGACTGATTAATGGCAAAGCGAACGGTAATAAATCTCCCCCAACACCAGCTGTCCTGCTTTCACCCACGAAGGAGCCTCCACCTCTGCTTGCCAAGCCGAAACTGTGAGTATTTCTGTATGTTTCGCAACACTTTCCTTACCGCCGCTAAATCGCCTCTCTGGTCAGTGAAAACTCTTTGCCTGGACTCAACTCGGTGGCACGTTGCCCCTTCTGCAGGCCAGCTGTCTCTGGCTGATGGGGCTTTGCTACCAAGTGGGTCTTTGAAAAAAAAAATACAAAAGATACCTAAAAATAAAGAAGGTACATGAGGAGCTCGGGGACCTCTGCCCTTTGCTAAAAAGCTATAACTGGTTCCAGCTGTGAAAATATCTGTGCTCCGTGTGGCCTTCCATTGTACAGCAAGGACGTAGCCACTCCTAGAGGTGATGGGCAAGGGGACCTGCTTTGAGCTCTCTGTGAACGGCATTTCCAAATGTTTTCAATGTAAGAATCGGTAAGGAAATCTGATATAGATAAGCACAGGAAGACGAGGGGCTGAGGATGGAAATTCATTGTACAGAACCCGGGAGGGGAATGACACCAGGGGTAGCCCGCTGGTCAGGAAGAAGAGCGCCCTTCACAACACGACCTCCGAGGCTTTGGAATTTCCATGAATACCAGCTTCACATTTGATTTCCACTATTTTCTTAGGATGATAAACCTTGCGGGAGCTGTTTCCATTGGCACTCCACAGCAGAGAGTTGTTATGAATGGAGCCCTGACCGTGTCAGAGAGACAGAAATCAGTTACCTCCAAAGGTTCTATCGTAGCATAACAGACCTTGAGTTACTGCCCTGATAGAGGTCAGTGGAAATGTGAGCGTCATATAAAATGCATACATACTCGACGAGGTCACATTTCCTCAGGAATGAATGTGCCGGGATCTAGGAAAGCCCCTTAGATTTCCCCATGATGGCTGATGTTTTTGGTTTGGGCCAGGAAAGATGACTTTAGGGATAGGAGTTGTTTCTCTGTAGTCTACTCTCTTTTCTCTGTCATCGGCTCACATGTTGGACTATCCTATATAGCTGTACGTTGCGTTATTGTTTACCAAGTGATTTCATGAACATGATTAGACTAATGAAATAAATCAGCCAAATGAACACCTTAAGTTAACAAATGGGCAGATAATTTTATAAAAATGAACTTCTGGGCAATCTCGTGTTGCAGTTTCAAAAATAGGTTTATGACCACCCTGCCCTTAAGCCTGTATGCCGTCCAGGCTCGGTTTTCAGGCAGTGGGGCTACTAGGTTTGTATACCGTCGTGTGAAAGGTGCCAGGTGAACATTTAATACCTGTGCTCCCTCTCTGTTGAGACGCTGAACAGGTAAAACGAGGTCAAATGCGGTAGCCTTAAAAGAGATACACACTCTATAGCTTCAACCCATAAAATTAATTGCCACGGCTGACCCCTTTTATCTTTGCATTTTGAATATGTATTTCTAGTGCTTTTAATGGAACAAAGGACCTGCTCTCCCTGGGTGGGAGGGGGAGATAAGGGGAAGGAAGGTTAGGGGGAGAAAGGGTGGATGTTGCTTAATGGCTGGGACTTGACTGGGTTCTTGATTAAGTGACCTGTGTCCATGGTAATGGCTGTCATAAATTAGATGCGAATCACAGGAGAGCAGTGGAGGAGCTGTTAACAGGCATTTCTGCCCTTCTTATCTCAGGAGTTTCAACAGCTGCTCAGCTTTTAGCTCTGCTTTATGGTGATGTTAGTGCGCCTGGTGGGGGCGGGGACATGTCTGCAAAACACAGACAACAATTCTGTGGTTATTAAGAGGATGAGTAGCTTAAGCACAAGTTTGAAGAGTGACATCATAATTTGCCTATTAGTCAGATTTTTAATATAAAATAAGATACAGGAAAAATAGACTTTAGTGTTTTAGGATCTGTATAGAGAAAGGCAGGGCACCTAATCACAAACCTGGTAGCTTAGAAATAGCATTTACTGGTACCAGTTTTTACCACCATTTTCTTTTTTCTTAAATCTTTAGGCATTTCAGTATATCCTTAGAGCACCACTTAGCAATTTCCATACTGTATGCCTGCCATTTACTTGATAGAAAATCATAGGTGATGACACTTGAAAATATATATTAATTTTAAATTTTTCTTATGAATTATAGTACTTTATTGGCTTTTGTTTTCAGTACAAAGTAAATGCATCTTGATGTGACAACTTAAATAATACAGAATAACTCACTCTCACTGCTTCTCCTCTTCCAAGCCACCCTCTTTGGGTGACTGACTTTATTGCTTTGGGCTGAAGTCTTTCCCTCCTTTCTCTATTATCACGGTCTTTTCTGAAAAGTTTTGTTCATTGTTTTAACAGTTGTATCCATTGATAGAGGAATGTTGTTGAATGACATCTGCCATTAATTTAGAATAGCATCTAAGTTATCGGTAATCCCACATCTTTTTATTTCTCTTTATACATTGGGGGGAAATTAGATTTTGCTTCTTATGGTTGGCAATGAAAAACTTTGGATTGCTCTAATCTTTTCTCATTAGCCTATGATTTTATTCCTCTTCCTAAAAGGAGAATTTAGGACATTTCATTCATCTGAATCAGTTGTAATCAGACCAATAGGAAACAGTGAGGAGGGGGCAAATAATAGGCATTAAAATATTTATTCTCGCAAAAACTTAACCTGAAAATGGTTGTGGTTTCTCAGATTTCTGAAAATAGATCATTTTAATTTTTTTACATATTTTTAAAATATATTTTTATTGATTTCAGAGAGGAAGGAAAAGGAAGAGAGAGAGAAACACCAATGATGAGAGTGAATCATTGATTTGCTGCCTCCTGCTTGCCCCACACTGGGGATTGAGCCCACAACCCGGACATGTGCCCCACCCAGGAATCGAACTGTGACCTCCTGGTTCATAGGTTGACCCTCAACCACGGAGCCATGCTGGCCAGGCAAAAAAGATCATTTTTAGAAAGAAAATATTTTGCATTTTTTTCTCTCAAATCGCTCCAATACTGAAAAAAAAGAAAAAAAATCAGACTAAAATGAAAAGATAAAAATGTCATGAATTCTTCTAACAAGGTCTAGCCCTGATCTTCTATTATCCAATAGAAATCTTCACCAATGGCCTGTAACCCTCTTAGACTCCCGTGGGGTCTGTCATGCCTACCCTGTGGCTGAGTTCCTGGCTCAGTGTTGAGGAGGCATCTACTTTGGTTCCTGCATCTCCAAGTGTCTTTGTCCCTGATACTGCCCCTCGAGTATAGTCAAACATGAGGACATGGGGGCCATTTGATAAGTATTACGTATATTAATTTTAAATTTTTCTTATGAATTATAGTACTTTATTGGCTTTTTTTTCATTACAAAGTAAAATGCATCTTGATGTAGCAATTTAAACAATACAGGAGTAATTAAAGAAAAAGTTAACTCTTACTGCTTCTCCTCTTTCAAGCCACCTTCTTTGGGCACTTTAGTGCTTTGGTCTGAGGTCTTCCACTCCCTTCTTTATTATCATGGTGTGTGGGAATGCCTTGCCACTTGCTGTGGGACCAGAAATGCCCGTATACACTGCACAGGGGAAAAAATTCATACATAAGGGTTATGTATATGACTGACACTCATAATCTTCTATTACAGTACAGAGAAAAGAAGCAACAGGTGCTTCAATCAGATTTCTCATCAGAGAAAAAGAGACCGGAACAAACATAAACCCAACTTGTGAATGATCTGTTATATTATTTTCCTTGTTTGGAGTGCCCCAAATAAGTCTGGTGCCTCCCACAAATCATACCTGAAGGTTCCAAAGAATTTTTTTTTTTTAGGACTCAGTGTGTGAATAGGAAACAACGTCCCTGCTTTTCTTAATTCCTATCAAGTCATTCATACTAAGGTATTAGGGATTTTATATGTCACTCAGTCCACTTCTGGACTGACAAAATAAAGCTACATCTTCATCGTAATAAACGATCATAAGCACAATAATAATTCCTTGTGCAAAATCAGAGACGTGTTCTTGCCCTGCACTTGGGGGAGTGAGAGGTGATGTGTTTAAGAGACAGAAAAGAAGGAAATAGCAGCCTGTATCCCTCTCCGTTTCAGTGACTTAGCTGGGCCAGGCTTGCCGTATTTGGAAGTTCTTTATGGTTTCCTCCATGCTCCTCGACACACATTTAAGCACAAGTTGTTCCCTTGCTGGGAATGTTCTACTCCTTGGAATGTTCTGCTACTAATGGCTGCCTCCTCCTTGCTTTCAACTCTCAGCTTAATGGCACCATCATCCCTGACCACCCAATCTAAAGCAGCCACCCAGCCATTCTCCAGTAAATCAGCCTCTTTAATTACCACATGGCCTGTCATTACTTTTCATAGTTTCCTATTACCTGCTTGTCGGTTTGTGTATTGTTTTTCCCCACTATTGTAATGAAAGCTTTTTGAGAGTAGGGACCGTGGCTGTTGTTTTCACTGCCCTTTCACCAGGACCTAGATCAGGGCCTGACAGAAGGAATGCTCAAAACATTTTAGAATGAATGAAGCAAGAGCAGATCGAGAAGGAGGAAGAGAAAGACCTCCCACATATACCTCACCAATCCCACAGTTTTCCCACTTTACAATATTTTTAAAACCGACATTATTTATCTCTTAAACAAAATGAATATGAAAGAATTAAATAAGAATCCCATGAGAGTGTGGGGGGTGCGGGGGGGGGCGGGGAAGAGGGCCTAATATATGGAGACGGAAGAAGATTTGACTTTGGGTGGTGGGCATGGTGCAATATGGAGATCTTGTGACATAGAAACCTACACCTGAAATTTATATGATCCTATTACTCAGTGTCACCCCCAATAAAATTAACTTTTAAAAAGAAGGGCGGAGGTAAGAATCCTTTGGGATAGAATTACAGTAGAAAACTTTGTCCAACCAAGTTACTTAGTGTGGGAACCCTTTCGGCTCCTTCCTCATTTCTCCTCTGTTCTCATTTGATTAACATCTTGTGTGAACACATTATGGAGAAAATGAGACATTTGGAAGGTCTAGGTAGGAGGACGTTTTCACTCTCTAGTACGTACTTGCAATGTCAGTTGGCC